TGTTCTTAAGTTCCTAGATAAACAGATGAGAGAGAGGTTGATTGAGTTACTGACTGACTGATTCTGAGAGGACACACATCTCTGGTTCAGAGAACAGAAGTGTTTGTTACACACAAAGCATCTTAGCCCAGTTCTTTGTAGTGTAATATGATGGGAGACAAATGTTCTTGTTGTTGTTCAGTTGCTATGTCTTATTTGACTCTTTGTGACCCCATGGACTGCAGCACACCAGGCTTCCCTGCCCTTTACCATCTCCCAGAGCCTGCTCAAACTCATGTCCATAGAGTCGGTGATGCCATCCAACCATCTCATCTTCTGTCGCCCCCTTCTCCTCCTGCCTTCAGTCTTTCCCATAAGACCCATAAGGGTCTTTTCCAATGAGCCAGCTCTTCTCATCAGGTGGCCAAAGTATTGGAGTTTCAGCTACAGCGTCAGTCCTTCCAATGAACACCCAGGACTGATCTCCTTTAGAATGGACCGGTTGGATTTTCTTGCAGTCCAAGGGACTCTTAAGAGTCTTCTCCGGGACCAGAATTTTAAAGCATCAATTCTTTGGTACTCAGTCTTCTTTATGGTCCAACTCTTACATCTGTATATGACTACTGGAAAAATCATCACTTTGACTATATGGACCTTTGTCAGCAAAGTGGTGTCTCTGCTTTTTAATATAATGTCTAGGTTTGTTATGGCTTTCCTTCCAAGGAGCAAGTGTCCTTTAATTTCATGGTTGCAGTCACCATCCACAGTGGTTTTGGAGACTGAGGAAATAAAATCTGTCACTGTTTCCAGTTTATCCCCATCTATTTGCCATGAAGCGATGGGACCGGATGCCGTGATCTGTTTTTGGAATGCTGAGTTTTAAGCCAGCTTTTTCACTCTCTCTTCTTTCACCCTCATCAGGAGGCTCTGGCACAGAGTAATTCTCATGGTTTCTCCTGTTCTCACCAGATAGTCATGGGACCCAAAGTTCTAACTTTATTATTTTGCAAGACTGTATTAGGATCAAAAATGTGAGATGTAGAAGGATATCCATGCTGCATTCTATAAGTATGTCTTATGTAGAGGTCCCTTGGTTCTGGCTTTAAGGGCTGATGGTCTGTTAGGTTACTCTTAGCCCAACCTCTTGAAATCATGGACCAGTACAAGCTTACGTGCCTACAATCTCATTTCTTGGGAGAAAGGAAAGGTGAATATCTGCTGTCAGCAAAGAAAAGGGAGGACAATGACCACTGGGAAAGTGAAACACAAGGTTTATAAGTTTATTAGTAATTCTGCTTTCCTAGAAATGGCTCCGTCTGGAGAGGAGAATATTACTGACATTTCTTTCTATTTGAAATGTTTTCCTTAACATCCCTTACTGAGTTCCATGAACGATGTCTAACATTGGCAATGCAGCAACTGTAGCTCATTTATCCCAGGGTTCTGCGATTTGCATTGTTTCATAACCTGTTAGCATCTGCTCATTGATAATTCTGAGCTTGTGCTCTCTCTCCTGCTGATTTTTCCTGCAGAGGTGGAAAAGCACTCAGTGGCAATTTGTTCCTTTAATTTTCCCGTGCAAACAGAGTCAGGGGACAGGGACGCTCGGTAACCACAAAAGATCATTATTATTTTATCAACACTAATAATCCAATACTCCATTAGAACAACTTCTTAGGAATAAGTGCCCCTAAAAGCAAGACAGTGAGGCAAAGCAGAAGATGAATTCCCATAGCGCGACATGAATTACTTTGCAAAGGGCCACCTGTAGCCTACCACTGCCTGACAAATTCATTGCAAACTACACAGTTCTACGTCCATCTCACTGGCTTTCAGCATGTGCACCAGCTGTGGGCAAGCTGACTAATTCACACGCAGGCTGACTGCAGACATAAACAGAGCCCCCAGGGCACCAGCACCGAGACGTCAGGGGCTGCCGTGGAAATGTCATTAAAGAGAAGTTAAGTCTTCCTTCATGATTGAAAGATGGAGCTTAAAAGTAGCTCTCCTGGGAATATACCCAGAGAAAACCATTATTCAAAAAGACACATCTACCCCAACGTTCATTGCAGCATTATTTACAGTAGCCAAGACATTCAAGCAACCTGGATGTCCATTAGCAGACGAGTGGATAAAGAAGATCTGGCACACATACACAATGGAATACTACTCAGCCAGTAAAAGGAACAAAACCGGGTCATTTGTAGGGATGTGGATGGACCTAAAGGGTCACAAAGCATGGGGCATGGCTGAAGTGACTTAGCACGTACACACACCTGCACACACAGATGGACCTAGACTCCGTCACACAGACTCAAGTAAGAAAACCAAGTATCATATGCTAATGTGTATATATGGAATCTGGACAAAATGGTACTGATGAATCTATTTGCAGGTCAGGAAGAGGGACGCAGATGCAGAGAGCAGACCCGCTGACACAAGGGGGCGAGGAGAGGATGGGCTGAGCTGAGAGAGGAGCATTAGCACACAAACACTGCCGTATGTAAACAGAGCCAAGGGAAAGCAGCTGGATTGCACAGGAGCTGCTGTTTCCTGCGCTGTGATGAACTGGAGGTGGGATGGGGGGCATGGGAGGGAAGCTCAACAGGGCGGGGACATGTGTGTGCACACAGCTGATTCGCAAATAAATGAATAAATAAAGGGTACTTCTCTTTGGGTGATAAAATGCATGAGCTTAAACTCACCACAAGGTTAAACTAAAGGGTACTTTCCAAGACCAGAGTGCCCAGGAAATATCACTAGAGTAGAAAGGGGGGCACAGGAAAGAACATGGAGGCAAAATCACATGTTTATTTTCTTCACTAGCGGATATTTAGCGTCTCCTTGTTAAGAATGTAGGCAACACCTGCAGCTGCACCAGCCAAACCTCTGACTTCATTACCATTAGAAATCAGTGATGTTTTCATATCATATTATGGTTGTGGCAGATATCTCAAAATATTACTTACTCTTAGCAAGGAATTCTTACCTGCAACTTTTTAATTTGAAAATCATGTTCCTGTATCAAAATTTCTTTAAGTTTTGATAACTGCAATTTCAACATAGCATTCATTTTCTTTGTAATCCCATGGCTTTCTTTTCTTCTTCTATTTTATAGTTCATCCTTAGAAGGGTCTATAGACTTCATCAGATGACCAAAGGGTCTGTGTCTCAACAAAGGCTCAGAACCCTACCTTTAAAGCCCAAGAAGAAAGGAAAACGAGGTAGTCTCTTGATAAAGTTCTCCAACTTCACAATTTTGCTCTTGGCAGAAAAAGCAGATGTTCCCTCATGAATACACTAATGCACAACTTAAAAATCAATCTCAGGGTAATGATGATGATCAAATTCCAGACACAACTCCTTCTAAGTTGCTGCTAAAGGTCATCCAGACCCCACACCTTACGGGGGGTCAGAAGCCTGAACTCCCATGCAGGGAGATTTAGCTTTCACAGAGTAATACAAGAACCCTGTTTCCTAAGTGGGAAAATTCTTTTCTTTTATTTAAATGCATTTATTTTTAGTTGAAGGATAATTGCTTTGCAACATTGTACTGGTTCCTGCCATACATCAACATGAATCAGCCACAGGGACACAGGTGTCCCCTCCCTCCTGAATCTCCCTCCCACCTCCCTCCCCTTTCCACCCCTCTAGGTTGTTACAGAGCCCCAGTTTGAGTTCCCTGAGTCACAGAGCAGATTTTCACTGTCTATTTTACATATGGCAGTGCATATGTTTCCATGCTGCTCTCTCCATTCGTCCCAGCCTCTCCTTCCCCCACTGGGCCCACAGGTCTGTTCTCTTGTCCGCGCCTCCATCGTTGCCCTGCACACAGGCCCATCAGTACCATCCTTCTAGATTCCTTATGTCTGCATTAAAATACAATAGTTGTTTTTCTCTTTCTTACTTCACTCCATATAATAAATAGCCTCTGGGTTCATCCACCTCATTAGCACTGACTCAAATGCATTCCTTTTATATGGCTGAGTAATATTCCATTGTATATATGTACCACAGCTTCTTTATCCATTCATCTGATGATGGACATCTAGGTTGCTTCTGTGTCCTAGCTTTTGACTGTTATTAATTGAGGCCTGAAAACAAACACAAAAATCACAAGGGCAACAAAAGGGGGTAATGAAAACTCCCTCTTCCCAATCACCCCCCTTTCCTCTGCAAGAAAAGTGTTAAGAAAACCAGTACTCTTCTCTACTCATGATCTTAGCAAATCTCTCACAGTCCATGTGGAAGAATGTTTCACTCTATAAATTACCAGGGATTTGATGCTCTGATCTGGTCACACTCACTATTAATCGCCCCAAATACAAAACTCTGCCAACAAAGCTCTGTCTAGTCAAAGCTACGGTTTTTCCAATAGTCATGTATGGATGTGACAGTTGGACTATAAAGAAAGCTGAGCACAGAAGAATTGATGCTTTTGAACTGTGGTGTTGGAGAAGACTCTTGAGAATCCCTTGGACTGCAAGGAGATCCAACCAGTCCATCCTAAAGGAAATCAGTCCTGAATATTCATTGGAAGGACTGATGCTGAAGTTGAAACTGCAATACTTTGGCCCCCTGATGCGAAGAACTGACTCATTGGAAAAGACCCTGATGCTGGGAAAGACTGAAGGCAAGAGGAGAAGGGGATGACAGAGGATGAGATGGTTGGGTGGCTTCACTGATTCAATGGACATGAGTTTGAGCAAGCTCTGGGAGCTGGTGATGGACAGGGAGGCCTGACACACTGCAGTCCATGAGGTCGCAAAGCATCAGACAGGACTGAGCAACCGACACTTTCTATCCCAAGGGTCAGGAAATGTTTCCCCTAAAGGGCCATATTAAATATTTTAGGCTTTGCAGGTCCTTGGATGGTCTCTGTAGCAGCTGACTGCAGCACAAAAGTAACCACAGATAACTTGTAAGCACACGGGTGACTGTGTGCCCCAAAAGCTGATTCACAGAAGCAGGCATAGGGCCACGTTGAGCCCACAGGCTGTGGTTTGCTGACACCTGCTCTCATGGACGAGGGCCACAAAGTCCCCACTGCATGGAGCTTACAGGGGACCTGCACGGTGAGCTGAGGGAACACGCTTCTTCTACAGTTCTCTGTAAGGACAGAGGTGCCACACTGGGAAGCCTAGTTTGTATAGGTGAGGGATGTCCGAGGGGGGACTGTAATGGGAACTAGGGGGCAGGGAAGGCCTCCGTAAGAAGGAAATATTTGAGCAAAATTTTGAAGGAAATGTAGGAGCAAGCCATGGGACTCCCAGGTCTCCACAAATGGGCCTGTCTCAGCCCCCCTGTCCGGCTTGCCAATGGCCCCAGGATGCCCTGGGGTCATCCCAGAAGATGGGGTCCCCAGTCAGAGACCCTCAAGGTGGGCTTTCCCGCTGCCTCACTCGTCCTTAGCCCCGCCCTCCCCACGCATCAGGATGCCCCAGGGTTGCCCTGCATTTGAGCTGGAGACCTGATGTGCTGGGTAACTTCAGCTGCACCCGTGCACCTTGGTTGATCCCCCAGGGGCCCAGACGCTGTTCTTTCGAGTTGAGTTCTGCTCCTGAGCAGTGATCTTTGTCGGGCTGTTTCGTTGGAGTGAACAAAGAGGGTTTGTTTCCTGCTCTACCATTGCTGACTCTATACGGTTTCTGTACTCATTTGCCCCAGAATGATCATTTCTTTATCAAGCTTTATTGAGGTGTACGATATACAAAAATGGCACACACTTAATGTACACAACTTGATGACTCTGGACATATGCATATATCCATGGTATGATCACGATAATCAAGGCACTAAATATCTCTATTATCTTCCCAAATTTCCTTGTGTTCTTGCATGTATGTGTGCTTTCTGGTAGGAGTCCTAAAATGTTATTATCATGTTAGGACTAACATGTTTTTAACATGTTATCAACATGTTACTTCTGATGTATGAAAAGATGACTCTTTTTCCAAAGGAGCACATCTCTGCACCATATTTCCACCTGAAGTAGGACCACATGTAGCAAAACTATATTTGCTCTGGTTGATTTTGATGTACTCTCTTTATTCCTCTCATGGGAGTCTCAAGGGAAAAAAATTTTTTTTCCTAACTCATTCCCACCTCTACTCACACCCAAACAGAAACAAAGATGCAAAAAACTAGATCAATGAAACTTTGACCTCAGTATCACATGAACAGTAGCAGACACCTTCTTCCAAAACCTCTTTCTGATAGTGATGAGATGGGGTCTAGATGAAGCTGACAGGGAAGCAAAAACAGTCTTTCACAAGAGGAGGAAGGATGGGTGGGAGGTGCCAGGGGCATCAGAGTGACACAGAGGAGAAGAGCTCCCATCAGAAAGGACCCAGAGGTGCTGGGGGTGGGGGCGTGATGAGGGAGACTCAGCCAGCAGAAGGAAGACCAAGCTCACCCTGCTGCCTGCTCTCTAGACATCGGAACCTACGAGCAATGGTTATTGGTCCAGGCAGAAACCACTGACTTTTTTATTCCAAAGGATATGATCCCTTTGTGGAGTGAGTTTCTACAATATTCTTTTCCTGATTAAATAAACTTCCTAAAACTGTGAGATAACCCATGTGTTAGAGAACCTGCAAATATCGTGGTCAGTAACTTCAGATGAACAGCTTTCCCAGGTGGCTCAGTGGTAAAGAATCCGCCTGCCAATGCAGGAGATGCAGGAAATGTGGGTGGCACCCCTGGGTCAGGAAGATCCCCTGGAGGAAGAAACGGCAACCCGTTTGAGTATTCTTGCCTGGGACATCCCATGAACAGTGGAGCCTGGGGGGCTACAGTCCGTGGGGTCACAAAAGAGTCAGACACGGCTGAGCACAAGCACACACGCACAACTTCAGACAGGCACACTCACACCTACCCGTGCCCTGGGCAAAGGTGGAGGGAGCTGCGTCTTGGATAAGTCACACTACAGAGATGAGCTTGTTGCTCTCCTGGTGGGCAAGCGGCCCACACACCCCTGCAGACGGCTCCTCTTCCTTGCTCTGAACCTCCTATGCATGCTCCCCTGGGGGTTCAGGCAGTAAAGAATCTGCCTGCAGTGCAGGAAACCGGGGTTCGATCCCTTAGTCCGGAAGACCCCATGGAGAAGGGAATGGCAACCCACTCCAGTGTTCTCACCTCGAGAATCCCGTGGACAGAGGAGCCTGGCCGGCTGCAGTCCACCGGGGTCACAAAGAGTCGGAAAGGACTGAGCAAAGAACACTTTCGCTTTCCCACCCAAGCAGGCATCTCTTCGTGCCCACTTTTCTTGGCGGGGGGCCGTGGTGGGGGATGGGTCCCCCTAGGGTCCTCCATTCTGCCTGCAAGCAAGTGTGTGACTGAGGCCGAGTCTCTGTTCAGCTGACCCAGTGGGTGTCTTGGGCCCAGGTGTTCACAACAGCCCCCGTAGAGAGTCCTTAGTTCCAGGAAGGAACATGGGAGCTTCATTGCATTCAGGTCCCAACGCAACTCAGTCTCAAGAAATGGTGTAAATCTGATGTAAGTAGGCAACTGCCTGCTTTGTTCAACAGGCTGATTCCTTTATGCTATCTTCCAAGCTTAGGGGAAAAATTGCAAAAGCAAGAAATTCCCACAAAGCTCTGGGCAGATCCTCATCTGCTTTAGGCAACCATTCCACCCTAACAAGGACTATCCTCTTCCTTTAAACACACAATCACAGGGAATTTGGGCATATTCTTGTGCGATGACTTCTGCAGGACTTGAATTTTTCTAGTTGTTCAAAATCATCCTGAAAGATGATGTGAAGTGGTACCCAGGAACTGAAACCCCACAGATTCCATAGTTATGAGATTTCTGTTTAGAGACTCCAGCGGGCAATTTGGCTTAAAGCACGGATTCCAATATCACTTAAGTCAAGTCAGTAAAGCTGGAGCGGTGCTTTTGAGCTTGATGTTCTGTTATGAAAAGACAAGAAAGATAAATGAAGAAATCTATGCCCTCTGGTAAGTATTTTTTGTCTCAAAGGATGGCCAACGTCATGATGAGCACCTTATAATTGATGGTGGAACTTATCATCAGGTATAAACAGGAGAGCAGGGACATGAGTGGGGAATAGTCAAGCAGGCACTGGAATGAATTTTCAAGTTCCCTAGCTCAGACATCTATAATCCCTACTGACTCTGAATCTAGAAACAAATATGCCTGTGAAAACACTGAGAGAGAGACTCTGTCTGGAGACGCTGGGATGGCAGGCCAGGGTACACTGTACTGTAACTGCGATCTGGCAGATGTGTCCTTCATTATACCTAGAGAGCACCAGGTAATTGCTTGGCCTATTGTTTCAATTATGATTAATTGCTGATACTAATGGGAAGTCTGTCTCTGGAAAGTATCAACATGTAATTTAGAAAAATAGCACAGATTTTAAGTAAGACTTTCTACGATTAACTACTATCCCCAAGTGAGTGATTTCCACTCCTGGATATTACAGCTGACGTCTGGTACCCAAAGCGACTGAGCACGGCTGCCTGCAAGTTTCTTGATGCCATGGACGAGCATTCCCCACACCCTATCATTTTTGGAGCCCTAAACCCTGGCACAATGGTATCTGAGAATAGGAATGCAATGAAGGTTGTTGTTTAGCCGCTAAGTCATGTTGGACTCTTTGCGATCCCACGGACTGCATGCCAGGCTTCCCTGTCCTTCACTATCTTCTGGAGCTTGCTCAAATTCATGTCCATTGAGTCAGTGATGCCATCCAACCATTTCATTTGTCATCCCCTTCTCCTCCTGCCCTCAATCTGTCCCAGCATCAGGGTCTTTTCCAATGAGTCGGCTCTTTGCATCAGCTGGCCAAAGTATTGGGGCTTCAGCATCAGTCCTCCCAAAGAATATTTAGCGTTAGTTCCCTTTAGGATGGACTGGTTTGATCTCCTTGCAATGAAAGCTAGATGAGTTAATAAGGAAAAATCCTTTAAGATGGGATTAGTGGCCTTACAAAAAGAGACACCAGAAAGTCTGCCTCCTCCCCCTCCCTGCCCTGTGAGGACAGAGCAAAAAGGCGACCGTCTGAACGCCAGCAAGAGAGCCCACACCAGGAAAATGAATCAGCTGGCCCCTCGATCTTGGGCTTCCAGCCTCTGGGACTGTGAGAAATGTATTTTTCTCCAGTGGAAGCCACCCCAGTGTATGGTATTTTGTTCTGGCAGCCTGAGCTGACAAACACAATTATTATAAAGAATATCCTCTGAGAATTAAACTGTAAAATCAATCTATAAAGGACCAAAAAATGCATTATGCAAAGTCACTGTGGGAAGAAAAGAGAACTCAGGTGGGAGCAAGGCTCGACTCCAATGGATTAAAGATATTAAGGCAGGAAAAGAAGGCGGAGGCCCAGAGCTCTGCTTGGACCACAGAAAAATATTGGTGTCAAGCACAGAAAATGCTCCACTGGGAACCAGGAGGCCGGGGGGCCGGCCTCACCTCCGAGTCTAAAAAACTTTGCAAACTCAGGAAGGTAACATGAAATTAAATTTTAGAGTTCAAAGAAGTAGAAAATAGCTTGCTTCACCTTTGCAAGCGTGCAGTGTCTATACATCTCCGAGCTAGATGTGGAAGGGTCTCCGGCCTGCCTTGCCCCTCCTGTGTGTGTGTGTTGGGCGGGGGGAACACATTTTTATTTTAAAAACAAGGTACTATTCAATGTGCATAGCCATTTTAATACAAAGGCATTTCAACTTAACTATAGCCCTGAAAAAGTCAGATATTGTCTCATGCAAAGCTTTCAAATCACAATAAAATGTTATGCAATGGCAATAACTCAGCAGTCTTTTCCCATCAGCTTTAAATTGCATTGTATTACCCTTAAAATATTCCTTACGGTGCAAGTTCTCTGTTTCCTTTCCGTAGAGTTTCTGATGCACCTGCTGTCACGTGTTTCTCCCGAAATAAACCACCTTCTCAAGCATCAATCCACATCCCGGCCACCTTCAGCCTGTTCATCCTTTCAGCAGCCCGTTTGACCACACTGGTCTCCAAGGCAGAAGCAGGACAGAACATCTCCGTGGCTCTTCTTGGCTCTGTTTCAGTATGAAATTTCAGGTGGCTCTGTGAGGAA